GGTTCAAAGATCTGCAAAATTTGTGGTTCAGGTTTAGGTTCAGTTCAGGTTCATTGAACCTAAATTTGAACTGAACTGAACCTAGGAACCCTAATGATACTTTTTTCTATCTTCGCTATTAATCATTAATAGCAGAAAGTATTGTATGATATAAATTAATAGTGGAAATTGTATCGCATAATTTGTACTATCAGCTTGCAAGCCTTTCAAGCCAAATTCGAGCCAAACCCAAATTCCAATGAGCTGGCTTAATTCAGAACACTGCTCAAGGCTTAAGCTATTGCTTTATAACTATAGTTTAAGCTATAGTTTAAGCTATAGTTTTTAAGCCAGTTCTAAATTTAATAAAGCTATGTAATATAATATATATATTAGAAATTTCAAAGCTAACAAATAAGTGATGCATTTTAAAATTAAATTATTCAAATTGAAAATCAGATTGCCAGGATAGTTTTTAAAACTGAGTTGCCAAATTATTACATTTGGTTAGTATAGCTTTTTAACTGCAATTGTCTATTAATTGTTTATAATAACCCTGAATTTTAGTATTCTAGAGGTTAATTTGCATAAAGCTACTTGATATGTAAGTATTGAGGCAGCTTTTGTTTTGAATCATCATAAGACCAACATGTGATATATTTGATCTAATAATCGATCAAGTGATTGATCAGTAAGTATAAAGTAATCTTTATATAAAATAATGTAATAAGAAAGTTAAAATAATTAGTATGAGACAATTAGTTAGTATATAGATATATTAGTAATTAATAAGATATGTAAGAGAAATAGTTTTGTTTTTTCTGCAAACTTGATATTTGTTTTGGTTACATCACTCTCCCTCTCTACCCAGTTTTTTTCAGAGTGGCTTGTTAGAATGACAGTCATATAAGATGCTAAAGTTGATGTAATTGTTCTAAGCATATAGCATATTAGGACAACATTTATATAAGATATTAGGTTTGATGTAATTGTTCTAAGCATATGGCCTGTCAGAATGATAGTCATTTGTATAAATTATAATGCATTCTATAGTTTTATGAACTGTTGGGACAACAGTCATTTGTACTAATTTCTATTGTATTTTATGATCTGTCAGGATAGTTTAAAGAAAAAAAAAAAAAATGTAAACGATACTTCAAAGGTTGTATAAGTTGCTCGATTCGATTAGCAAAAAGGAACACTCCAAATGTATTTCCATAGCAAGTCATCAGAAATGAGAGACAAAACAAAGTGTTATACAAACTAAGAAATTTTACTAGGTTTTGCACTGAACAAAAGACTATTGGAACAATGTACTATTAATATACATACTTGATGTGTTAATTAATGCAAGTAGCAGTTAAATTTGCCAAATGCTTATTATTATTAATTTATTGTTACTCAATGAACTCAAATATTACTAGCTCATTCAGCTCTGAAAATAACACATAGTATATAGCAGCCATTTACTGCACCACTGCCCATAGTTTGAAGTATTGTTTTTTGATATATCAAATTTATAAGTAATAAATAAAATTAAAAACAACACTTATTAAATAACTAGTATTTACTATGTATTATTTTAACTCTGCACTAAAGGCTAAGATTTGTTGCACATATAATAATCAATATATTTTTTATTGTTTATTAAATTTTAACAAGCTTTATTATAAAAAAAATTGCCACTAGAAGGTAAAATTTTTGTTAAAGTATAAAAGTCACTTTGTTATGTAAATTTTGTTACTAATTTTAAAATAGACAAATTTTTTATATTATTTCTAGTCATTTTATATTATACTTGATCATAATTGAATCGTTGGACAATTATGCTGTTTTTGGTCTAGCCTGGGCGGCTCACAGAAGTATTGGTCTACATAATTATTAAAATGATCAATTAGGCTGTCTAAATTAATTTTTTGTATAGAATTGGCTTCAGAAACTGCCCTGACTATTTTTCTTTATTTATCAATTAGCTTTTATATACAAGCTGAGTCAAGCCGACAATATCCCTACTCATAAATTATTATTTCCAGTTTTACTAATTGTAGGTTTTGGGTCTTCACTTATATTTTAGAAATAACTTAATTCAAGGAAATAGCTTTTGGCTAACAATTAATAAAGCAGGAGAATAATATTTTCATTTTCTGCTTCTTAGAATAAATAGTATTTAAATTTAGCTATTACTTAATAATAAATATGTAATAAATTAATTTAGTAAATTAATCAATTAATAATAATAAAATAAAATTAATAAAATTATTCTTTTTAAATATGTCATCTGTTGAATCTAATATTGTATAGTTATTGATTGACAAAGCAAATAGATAAAATTTTTCCAGTTAATTAAACTTTATCATTGTTTCTTTTATAGTACAGTGTAATGTATTACTTTAATCCTTCAAAAATTATAAAAGGAATGATTTAGTTAGTAAAAAAAAAAAAAGCAATAAACTTATAACATAACTTGATTTGGTTCTAAAATGTCTGATTATTACACCACCTCTGAAGAAGAATTTGATTGTAATAATATTATTTTTAAGAAAGAAGAAGTTGTTTTATCTAATAGTACAGTAAATAGAGAAAATACTACAACCACTGTATTGCCACTACAAGAAGTTTTGCCAAATAGTTTAAGTATAAATTGTAGTAAAAATAAAACATCACTTATATGGAATTTTATAAGTGAGCAAGTAGAAGGAGATAAAGTTATTGCAAGAATCTATAGAAAATGTAAGCAAAAATTTAGTCCTATAACAACTACTAGTGTTTTAAATAATAATCTTAGTAATAGCATGGAGAACTTGTCTTGAAGAAAAATAGCTAATCAAAAAACCCTATAGTAAAGGAGATGCTTAATGCAAGAAAAGTGTTTTGATACTGTTTTTAATCTTGTTGTTTGCTATCAGCTTCTATTTGCAATTATCAAAAATCTCTAGTTTCAACAAATAGTAAACATATTTCATCCAAGATATAAACTTCCATCATGTTAGTATATAAAGAAAAAGATAATGCATCAGTTTACAAGTTTTACCACTAAAATCACACTCACTGCAAACATATTGACATCAATCTCAAATCAGGTCTACTTTAGTATTATTGTTTATTTTATTAATAGCAAGTAGCAGATGTGTCAACTATTACTGAACTTTATTCATTTTGAGTATCCCTTAAACTATCAGCAGTTAGCGGCTATATTTGGCCACTAAAATGTCAAAATTATTGTTTCTGATCTAATTTAAAATATTTTAAAAAAAATTTATATATTAATATTTAAAAATGGATAAATATTTTCGTAGCACTTTGTAATGTGCTAATTCATCACATGTATATTTAATTATTATAATTTGTAGATCTGTATAATTAATACTTCATTAGAGTTAGAGTAAGGTTAGAGTTAAGGTTTGGGTTAGCAGTTAGAGTAGGGCTTAGTATATACCAAAATTTTACAAGAAATTTTTTTTGTTAAAGCTCGAAAAGTAGTTTTCTAGACAAAATTTTGAGATATTAAGAAATTTTTATTTTTGTTATACAAAAATAATTTACCTGATCTTCAAATTTAATTGGTTAATTATTAAAAAGCGATATATAAGCATGCTGCAGGGGTGCAATGCCTATTTAAATCCTTTAAAAATAAGGATTATAAAATAGTAATATTTATTTTTAAATTATAAGAAAAAAAAATGAAGTTGTCTATATAATAAAAATTTTAAAAATCAATTTTTTTTTAAAAAAATACAAAATTTTATCTTTATTCATTAACCAACTTTTTAAAATCCTGAATATAAGTCCCATATAATTCTGATGCAAATTAAAGAAATTGGTTTAAAAAATAACTTTAATTAGTAAAATTTTTATAATTTTATAAATAAAGTTTTAACTTTGTATAATAGTAAAGATTTTTTTTAGAGACAAAAACATATAAAAATTTAAAAATTATTAAAAATATTTTAAAAATTTAATAGTAAAATTTTAGAATTGACTATATTTTAAACTAAATAACCTTATTACTATTTAAATTAAATCAAAAATTTTATTTAATATTAATTAAAAATATCTTAAATTTTTATTTTGGCTTAGAAATAAGAGAGTATATACTTAATAAAATTTTATATTTTTGTAAAAAATAAAAAAAAGATATTCTAGCAGCCATATTTGGCTGCTGGATAGTTTAAGAGATAACTACACTGTGATATCTATAAAAGAAAACCTTTGTGATTCTATAAATATTAGTAATAAGATAATTGTACTTACTATTAATAACCACTCTATGATAGTATTGTATAGAAGTTTAATTAATCAAGAATGGGATTTACAAAGATTTTGCCACTATCGCTACTTAGCTCATGCCCTTAATCAAGCTATGCACCATGGAATACAACTTAAAACTTAAGTAATTAAAAAAGTATAAATTTTGTAAACATAATTAAACAATTAACTATTTTATATAATGCACTTTATCAATTTTGTGAAATAAATAAAAATGTTATATCAAACCAATTGCTAATATAAATACTCATTAGAATAGTACCTACAATATGCTCTATAAATTCAAAAGAATTCATAATAAGTTAAGTTTACTTGTAACTGCTTATAAAAAACAACTAAAAAATAATTATCTTAATAATAAAAAATAGGAGATCATAGATAATATGGTTGAATTGTTAGGACCTATGTTCATTGCAACAGAATTACTATCATCTTTGGCTATCTTTGATATCTGTTTAACTTTTTTAGAACTTCTTTTCTATTTTAATAGATTTTTAGATAACAAATTATATTTAATAGAGCAGTATATGATAGCAGATTCTATTAAGTCTAAGTTAAATAAATACTGGTCTATGCTTAAAGAATTAACTACAATTGTAACAATTCTTGACTCCTTATCTAAACTTATAACTTTTCTTACTAGTGATAAAGATGCTGTTCTTACTAGTTTATGAAGCACAATGACTCAATATAAATTACAAGTTCCAGCAACAACAACTATATCTGCTTTTATCTCTATCTCTAAACTGCTATTTAAAGATAAAAGAAAATTTTTTAAATCATTATTAAACACAACAACAAACAATTGAACAAATTTGATAGAGGAACTAAAGCATTATTTGTCTATACCTATGACTATTAAAAATATTTTATTATTATAGTGGGCTGAAAATAAACTCAAGTTTCCAACACTTGCAAAAATGGTATGTAACTTTCTTGTGATCCAAGGAACAAGTATTCCTTATGAGAAGTCTTCTCTACTGCAGCAAGAACACTTACAAAAGTTTATAATCACCTTGATTCTCAAATTGCCTATGCATTACTATGCCTAAAAAGTTAGAAAGAGAAAAATATTGGTATGCAAAACTAAAATAAATAGCAAATTTATAAAGGTTAATAATTGATAAAGTATTTTGAAAAAGTTTTTTTTTTAGTATTTTAGATACGTATTATATAGATTTTAGTTTAGTGTTAGTCATATAATTATTATATAGTAAATATAAACTTAGTATAGATGATTTGGTATGGAATTTTGATTGTTATAACTATTAAAATCTTATAATAAATATAATTTAAAATAAAAAATATCTATGCAAATATAAAGAGTTTTATAACTAGAATACCAATATGAAGAAATATAGAAATAAGCTAACTATTACATATTTTATATACTAACACTTTTATTGTATAACAAAGCTATCTCAAGACTTACCATTATGCATAAATTCAGGTCATATATATAATTATAAAATTTACAGATTCTACAAAAAAAAGGCTTGAAAGAACTTTTAAAATAGATTGAAAGTTGGTGAGTTAATGGTTACTTTCATTATCTTAAATTTGATATTGAGTTATGCTTAAATATAAGAATTTTCACTATTTCAAAAACATGCGATAATATAGACTAAATATTCATATTATAAACTTAAAAACTTTTTTAAATATCCCTATTAAATAATTTTTTATTAGTAAAGTAATTATTAATGAGACAATTATTATTATTATTTAAACTTTTTATTGATATAATATTTAAATTCTTTATAATTACAGCAATTATGAAAAGTTGTTTCTATAGATTACAAAAGATAAATAAGCAATTTATAATTTGAGTATATTAAATAATAATTATATTTAATAACAAATACTCTTTTAATGCAAATAATAGATATCAAGAGAGACAACTCTTTTTAATGATTACTAAACCCAAAATTTTCCAAACAATTTTTGTAAAAACAGTAACTAGTAAGTAATAAAGAGTACAAAACTGGAAACTATAAGTCAGCAGTTGTTATTTAGAGGTAGTTCTCATATGCTGCCTGCTAACTTCTTCAGAGTTTATTACTCACTGCTAGTACAGCACTTGTTGTTTAGAAGTAGTTCTCATATGCTACTTGCCAACAAGTCTAGAGTTTATCACTTATTGAAAAGCAAGTACAGTAGCTCTTTTCCTTTCCTAGAAAAAAAGTTACTAGTTGTCAGTTCTTTCAAGGATAAAATACTCTCTTTGGGTGCTAGTGGCCCTTTCCTTAAGTCTCTCTTGGCCCTGTCGGTCTTCTTCAAAATTTTTGACAAAAAGTGGGCGATTTAGCTTACCTTCTCCAAAAGATCGGCATTGTTTACTTCCCAAATTCAAATATACCCAGGAATGCAACCACATGCCTTGTTTATCGGTAGATATAATACATGCCATAATCTATGGATATAGGTCCTCTACATGACTAGAATCAGGTCTCTGGCATAAGAGGCATCTGGAGTGGCTAGTAGTCAGATATTAAAGTTCTTATATTATAATTGAGATATACAAACATTGCAGTTGTTATAAAATTTTTTCTTAAATCTGGCATGGGTTATAATTAGAGTTCGGGTACGCTTTAAAAATTGGGCATGCCCTTTTATGACTATGTGAATATGGGCCAATCATAAATCGACAATCACATAAAGTAATAGTTATAGTAAATCAGGGCAATGATTATATAGTAATTCAGTAATTGTAATACATACGTACATACCAGGGCACATATATATCAGATATGAAATATGGAACTATTACCAAATACAAATTTTTTAATTTTTTTTTTAATAAAACTTTAACTTATATAGATATATATATACATAAATCAAGATTTTATATATAGACTATAATATTCTATGATTTTAGTAACTTCAATGGCTATTAAATTCTTTATATTATAATCACAGTCAAATCATTTAATATATAAACATTAAATTATACATGTGTTATAAATTTTAGGATTGCGCATAATGATTTGGTTAAATTTACTATATGAGTGCCACTAAGGGAAAACCACTAATCGGGCTTTCAATAATATTTTGTACCAGACAAAATCTATTTAATTTCTTAGGGAATATGCCCAGTACAAAATATAATTGAAAGCTCGATTAGTGATTTTTCCTTGGTGGCACTCATATAATAATTCATACATATTAGGATTTAGGATTAGGATTAGAGTTGTAGTTAGGGTTGGAGTTAAGTAGGGGCATGCCTTTTGACTTTAAGGCATGCCATGGGCATGTCTATAGGGCATGCCCTTATGAGCATGCCCCGTGCCCTCATGCCCTATACCCTAGTTATAATAGTATATTTCTTGTTTTGTTTTTTTCTCTTGTTTCCCCTGTGCTATTTCTTGATAGAGGTAGTTACCCCTTTTGTTAGCTCTCGAGCTTTTCTCTTTGTGTTTCTTTTTTTTATATCTCATTGTATCCTCTTTTTTTTTCTTTAAAAATATCCCTTTGTTCTATTTGTTTTTTTAGTTAGGTTTTTGTTTTGTTTTCTTGGTAATATTGGTGGTTTTGTATAAGATTA